CCGAGCTGGTAGACGGCTTCTAGGTCCTCTGGGTTGCACCTGCAACCAGTGCCTCCACAGCTGTGTGGTGGAGGGGAGAAGCCAACATGGATTTGGTGTAACCAGTGGTGCCAAGACCCGTCTTTCTGAGGCCCGGTCTTCCTGCTGGTGATATTACCAGCTGGACAGGCTACTACTTTCTCTCTAGTCCAGAAAAAACTGACATCCATCCTCCTGGGAAGAGTGTAGACCCACTCCAGGTAACTCTTTCAGCAAGACTCCAGGAGGCTCTCAAACCATGCTAGATGAGTGGTCAAGATGTGGCTAGAGACAACTGCAACTGGACCTCGAGGCAGAAGGCTTCAGGAATGTGGATAAAAGATTCAGACCTACCTGCAGCTACCTAGGTCCACTACCTGGGCCCTAGCCAAATGACCAGTCCCCTACATGTGTACATCTGGGGACTGGCTTCTGAGTGTGGGCCCATGGAAACTAGGCAGAGCAGGAGAGGAAGGGACATTAGCAGCAGGACAGCTTACCTGTCCTGATTCCCACAGGACAGCAATGACCCTGCCTCTGTCTCCTTACCTTGTAAACTGGAGAATGGCAAAGCTGATCTAGAAGGGCCTGGATGATAGTGGCACTGGCTATCTTCATGTACCTGACCAGCAGAATCAAAGCCTGAAAGAGGGAGAGAAGGATAAAACAATCACAGACTGAGGAAGAACGTGAGTCCCAAATCCAAACGTGTATCAGTAATACATCCGCTCTACCAGATTCCCCTATGCAAAGCCAGAGAGGTCACTTGTGGGGGGATACTGCTGAATAGATGGCTGTTTCCAAACACTATGAACCTTCAGTGGCAACCAGGCCAGCCTGAGCTACATCAAGGCTGGAGGGATGGGTCTGGGACAATCCTATCTGTGTGTCCATCCTCCCTGGTAGTGGAAGTCAGTAAGCAGAGTGTCTGGGGAAGGCTCCTGTCTGGCTCTGAGTGAGACTGGAGAGACCACAGAGACAGACAGACAGATGAGTAGTCCCAGCATGGTCAGACAGGATCCCCACCTGCATCTTCATCTTCCTGTCCGCCAGCACCAGGCACCTCTGCAGGGTCTCGCGGGCGGTGGGGTTGGAAGAGTCCAGGTACGCCAAGCAGGCGGCTGCAGAGAAGCTGGAATCATCTGTGGGACCCTGTGAGGATGCCAGTTGCTCGAGGATCTGGATGAGTCTGGACCGGGCAGCCACCAGCATCCTCTGGGAATGGGAGGGAAGAGCAGCGGTGTGGGCGGCATGTCCCATCACCCTGGGGCAGGTGGAAGCGGCATCCGCAGAGCTGCTCAGTCCGGTTTGGGCATTACCTGGAACTCGGGGGCTGCAGCCCATGTATGCAGAGCCACCCTCAGAGCAGCCAGCATGTCCGTTCTCTGCATCGGGCTTCCCCGCTTCAGCTGTCCGATCAGCTCCCGCACGACAGCAGCTTCCAGGCACCCTGCTCCAAGCACAGCACAGACCCAGGGGCCAGTGGCCAAGTGCAAAGGCAAAGGCATCTCCTTTGGCCTGGCAGCAGCTGGCCAGTATTAGTCACCCCAGCTCTGCACAGGCCCATTTCCCTCTTGCTCGTGGCAAGCAGTCGGTTCCTATTGCCCAGCTCCCCTGGCTGGGCATCAGGAAGGGAGCGACCCCGTTTTGCCACATGTCAGAGCCACATCTGATGCCACAGAGCCACCCTGTGGTGAGTGCTGATAGCGTTGCCCTGGCCCGGCCCCGCGCTGCTGTTCCTCTCGGCAGCCAGGATCATCTCTCCCTCTGACAGTTGTGGGAGAATCAGCATTTCCAGCCC